TTTTCCGTCATGTGACAGACATCAGAACAGGACACCATGCTTTACAATATTTTACTAAGCCTTGGAATCGACAAACAGCAATATTCATGAATTGCATTTAATAATCATTTTAATATGACCAAGTTGCGAAAACAAGGTCAAACAACTTCTATACAACGAAAGGAGACTGTGACCACACAAAATGCCACACCATCTTGGTCTTCATACCTTCTAATAATCATTTTCTTTGAACGAAATTTATAGACTAATTCCTAGTCTTCTTGATTCTACTTATGCCGAACCCAGAGTGAACTGAATCTTCTCTGGGCCATTTGCACTTATCTGTCTTCAATTTAGCGCAATATCAAATTTCCCAACAAGTAAAGCCTAGCCATGCAACTTTTTTTATATTAGGAATTCGGAAAAAAAACATTATTTAAGTGCTGCTTGATTGTGGCGTCATGATTTATAGATGTGAGTGACCTATCACTATGACGAACGGACAATTAGGGTCCAGCGGATTCTGCCACTTTCTAGAGCCAACTGGTATGGACAGTAATTGGTCAATCTACCACTCATATGAATGGGATGGGCATTACACCATAGATTAGACATTTTATTTTTAGGTTTTTTCATACGAAAAGTTAGTAGGTTTCAATGGATCTCCCGATATAACTTTATTGTGGAGACTTTCATTTTGTGTGAAAATGCCTGATGAGAATTTTGGTCGATCTTACTATAAGACAACAACTCATTCTAGTTGTTCTGCACCCGTTTGGCTTCACTACGACGTTTAGGTTGACGCAGTCCACGAGACAACCTCCCTCGTTTCGTGTGAAAACAGACTGAGCCTTTGCCCATCGTATTGCAGACTTCTTCAGAGCTGAAACTCTTCGCTGCTAATACTCCAAAATAGCACTAAGTAAAGAGGACTAGCCGGCTCAACTTTACATACTATATATGCTACATCTAAAGACGAAAATATATGGATATGGATATAGGGTGATTCGTTTTTTTTCTCATATTAATCCAACTACTTGTATTTGAGTATGTGTGTTCTGTTGTCTGTACGCATTTAAGTCATAGTACTAAATAACTGTCATAACTCTAAATAAATAAAGTCTAACGTCAGTCCTGGGCAATCAAGTGTTAGTGATCCAGGAAAAAGCATGACGGTAATTGCTAAGTCCGAACGCATATCTGTCTGAGTCTTACTTCTGCACACGAAACAACCAGTCATAGCTCTTATTCCAGGATTATCAAGGTCTAAGGGCTCAAGGAAAAGCTTGATTTGAATTGCGATATCCTACACGCCTGGCTGAATTGATAAGCTTAACAGAAATGTTGGGTGAATTTGAATGTGATTAGAGGCATCACTAAGCTGGCCAGTTAGGTCACCTTTTTGTTAGTATTTCCACACGCATAGATGTATATGAAAATTAGCTAGCTAACTTAATTCATACTTCCTTACATTAATAATATGCATTTATATAAATAGAAGGTTGATATGAACTGATTAGTTTTATTTACTTTTCGTTGCCTTCAAGTTTTCATAAGAATGAGTCACAATTCTGGTTATATACGTCAATTATTAGACGAATGTCCAGCAATCCGTCATCGAAATCGGAATAAAGTTTATCAAGGGCTGTGACAACTTGAATACCTCAGTGAAATTAAACAGCAGCAGACCATCGTTATCTTCTGGTGAATCTCTTCATCATGAACTTTCGTGTCAAATCAAAGTCTTAATAGCTTAAATCATCTTGCTTAGCACTCAATTTCATATTTTCCCTTTTTCGGTTTTTTTTACTTTATATTTTATTTTTTGAACCCTGGTCGATTACAGTTCAAAGATATTGCCATTTTCCCTTTCTTTAACATATACTCATATGCTTTATTAGATATTTTTGCTTGCTACAAATTACTGACTCATCATTATTTTCAAGCATTTTTCGTTCCAATTTTTTCTATAATTTTTACTTTTTTTATCCTCTACGCACACTTTTGTCTCCTCGCTTGTACCTCCTTTCTAGGAGTTCGCCTGGCTTATCGCTACTCTCTCCATATCCGGTGTCGATAGCAAGCTCCGTTTGCTTTTTTATCTCCACCAGTCGCCTTGCTACGTACCACCTACACAAACAGATATTTCTTCAACCAAGGCATCAAACGAGGTTATAAAAAGACCAACAGGGCCGAATCCAGTCTCTCCGTCAGACATTGCCTCTCTTCCTGATGGATCAATTTCACCGGGGGGCCAAGAGTTGGGCAATCCAGATGCCTTTGAGGCTCAGGAGACTAAGGAATCCTTGCTTCGCCCGAGTATGCCTTAGTCATCGTTTATTTTTCAAATAGTCTACTAAACTAAGTTTTGAGGAGCACTTTGTGGTCACATTATTTTTCTCTGCCATTATTTTTAATGTATTTCTTATCGGCTCACCCCATTGAATCAATTTCGAGTCTTCTATTTTGATAACGACATCTTTATGGAATTTTCAACCTTAATGTAATTATGGTAGCTCGTTCTGGTCTTTTTATAATCTGAATAGCTCAAACTCAGTTCATAAGAGGAATGTTATGATTTTGTTTGCTTTCCTTTAGAATAATATAGGTCTGTTTAATCTTCATCTACGTGTCTATCCAGCTCGCACATATCTCGTGATTGTGTAAATGCATCCATATTCTCTCCAGCGAGAAGTTCTTTTCGGCCCATAATTTTTATCCTATAGTATAATTATAGATACCCCGTTTTAGCTCCACATCCATTCGAATGCATAATTATTTTTTCATAGGCTACTGGGTTTTTTTAGCCATATTCCCTTAATATTACGGTGCAGCCACAATATTTTGGATAATGTCCTTTCCACTTCTTCCTATATAATAGTTAAAGGTAATTCCCACGTAATTTTCTACATTAGTTTTGGATGTTACTCAGACTTTTAATTCTATATGAATCTTTCGTCTTATATTTTGTATTCGTGAGTGAGTAGGGTTTCGAGACTACCAGTAAATCAGTGTAATGAGATGTATTCACCCTAT